TAGAGATAGAGATATATCACATTTCCAAAATGTGAAATCCCTATATTTCAAGTTAATGAGTATAAAATTATCAAACATTAAAGCTTGTCTCTTCACTCATTTTTTAACGTATTTATTTATTGATTTGTATTTTAGGGAAGAGTCTACAGGGTGTTCAGGGTCTTACTACTAGATCAGACTCATAGTGATCCACCTATTTACAGCCTCTCAAGAGTTGGGATTACAGGTGCATGCCACCACGCCCAGTCTCAATTGCTGTCTCAGCACACCCCGGGGTGGGGCTTGTACGGCAATTCCAGGGATCCAACCACCTGGCTGTGGGCCTGCTTGCAGGTGCTTTAATCTGCTGGGAGGGATGGATGCTCCTGCTCTGAGCTAGACCTAAAGACCAAACAAATGCTAACCTCCATAAAGATTGGCATCCAGGGTTGATCATTACTCCGGAAGAATCATAAAGCAGGTGGAAACTGTGGAGAATGACTTAAGTGGGTGGCTAACTTGACTTTGGAAATCTAGGAAGACCACTGAGTAGATATCACTTGAGCTGAAATTTGAAAAGAAGGAAGTAGCCACAAGAAACTACAGTGCCAAGCATTTAAGACTTATGAAAATGGCCCAAGTGGTTGGCAGGCTCAGCATAGTAGCAGAACAGAAAGGGCAGTGGCAGCTAGGCAGAAATACAGTGAGTAGGAGGTGAGATGCTAGAATCTGACAATCCCCATACAAAGACCAAATCACATAGAGTATAGGATTTGCTTTTTGTGCCTGCAGTAAGATTCTTTGGAATGACAAGGCACAATCTCATCGACATTTTGAAAGATTATATGGGTGATTGCCTGAAAACTGGCTAATAAGATCAGGGAATCAGTTTAATGTCCATGCGATAATCCAGGAAAAACAAGACGATGGCTGGATTACCTAGTGACAACAGACTGGAAGAGAGGTAGATAACCTTGGGATACATTCCAGAGGTGAACCACCAGGGTTTGTTGGTGGACTAAATAATGCATGAAAGATTAAGAGGAAAAGCACAATGAGGGGTAGTTGAAAGGCACTTTGTTTATGTTGTTGAAAATAACTTGGGAGGAGCAAGAGGATTCCTTAAGTAACTTTTGTAAATGGCAATGTATTACCCAGATGGTGCAAACCTGGGGAGAAAAAGGTGTGCTGAGGAGGAGAAATTCTTGTTTTGGCCATCATACATTTAAGATGCTGCTATTTCTCATCCAAGTACAGATGGTTTATAAATAAATTGGGTACCATGCAAGGAACTAAAAAGATATGCTTAAAAGGATGACTTGGCATGTGTATTTTTACTAAAAAAAAAAAAACAAAAAAAACCATAATTTCTTGTCTTTTTCAAAACAATCTCTTAATTTTTTAATTTAAGTAAAAGAAAATCATCTACTATTAATAGGAAAATTGTCTATAATGTTGAAGCATTTTACAGAAAATGAATATGGGGCTTATCTATATCATTACTATCTTCCTGTTATTAATGTCACCCAGAAAATGAAAAGATGCAGAATCTCCTAATTCAGGTGTTATGTTCTTTTTAAGTTTTCCTTATTAAATGTTTTGAGCACTTGCTGGCTGCATTCACATGTGGAGTGCACATGTGTGCACCACACATCTCAATTCTTCTTATGTTCCTTGGCACATTTCTCAATTTCTGTAACGCCAAAATCATGCCACGTAGAGCAAGTTACTTTGAAATTAATAACACAAATGAACAATATTATCATGTTACACTCCAAAAAGTCAACTTTGATCAGCTGCCTAAAATTATCCAATATTGATCTTCTCTGTGGCAAATCTTAATTTCTGAGATATAAGCAGTTAGAACCCAAGGACTTCTGCTTATGTACATGTGACCTTATCTTCTTCCTGTCCTCCCTGAAAATTAGGAATTTTGTGGTCACTTGCTTTGCTGAGTTCTCTCCTTTCATGTCCTCTGTTACTTTACATGAACTCTGAAAACAAGCCAAAAAATTTAAAAAAGCTTTTGAAATTTAAATACCTACAAAACTCTTTGAGGGAAAATACCATTAGAAAAGAAAGAATTCTGTTCATGTTTATCAGCTTGATTCAGTCAGAATGAATTGTAGAATGACTTGAGAAAACAGTAAAGGCATGCAGAAAGGAATAGTGGCCATTTTGTCAGCTAATCCTTCTAAACTTGATCTTTACTATAGACACCACTTGCTTCTTAGAAATTGATGCCTAAAATGCTACACATTTATTTTAGTAAATCACATTTTGAAGACATGTACATGCATATATGTCTATATTAAAGTATCTGTATCTTTCATTAAGTAACCCTTGACTTATAATTGACAAAAGTTTCCGTTGGCTTGTACTTGGAAATTTGATTATGCCTGTAAAATATTGTAGCATGTCATAAGATCTACATTTAGAGAAATTATGTTGATTCAACTTGCTCATTTATTTATCGCTTATATATAAGCAATTAATTAAAATGATGTGAGATATAATTTTCTCCAAAGTTGAATTCCAATTTAAAACATATAGCACCAATAATTTATTAATGTATCATCTGTCATGGTTTAGAAAATGTGGTTTAGAACAATTGGTGACCAGTTTTCAATGTTACTGTAAAGAAAGTAAAAGTGATTTAGATAGAAACACAATAGAATTTTAATAATAAATCAAATGAAAGAAAATGTCTCAATAGAAAAAGTTACTCAATATTAGAAGAGTTTTTCCCAATGAGGTTGTAAAATCTCCTCCTTAAAAATAGCAATTTCTGTAAGTAATAATGATATTTGGTATGTATAAAGAAATGAAACTAGGTAATTTCTCAAGATTTCATATACTTTCAAAGTATAGCTATTTGATTGTATTAGTAAATGTGTTCTTGGAAATCTGAAATAACATTGGGCTGACTAAACACTATTTTTTCAAATTATTGAATTATATTGTATAAATAATTAGTAAAGGAATAGTTGTATTACTTACCTAAAAAAGAATTAGCTACAATGAAATTTGAAGCATAAAATGATTTTGTGTAACTCTCCAAATGATTTATCATGTTACTCTCCAAAAAGTCAATGTTGATCAACTGCCTAAAATTATCCAATATTCATCTTACCATTAACAATTCCTAATTTGTGAGATTATTACTTTCTATGTATTAGCATTTTTTTCCGTTTGCACCCAAATATCTTGACACACAGAATAAAATTATGGATTAAGTATAAATTACAATGATGATTTAGTCTATCAACTCTGTAAACAAAATCAAAGAACACATAGTTGTATTTCCTAATTTATAAAATAGTTATATCACTTACTAATAGGCAAAGGTTTCAAAGAGTAAGCCTCTAAAACAATGTACTTTAAGGTATTTGAAGTCTAACTATTGATAAGGCATACATCTAGTATGTGGGTTTGATCTTCATACTGGAAGACAAAAATGCTTTAAAGGTAACATTCTTGAAAATAATGACTAAAAGTAGAATCTTTTTAAAAATTCTTGAAATAGGACTTTTTAAATTTAATGTTAGCCAAATTTATTCCAGAATACTTACTTAATACTGATAACAAATTAGCTAGTGTCAGGCCTTCAAGAAGAATTCCATTAACATTAGTAGAGAATACTGCCTGAATTATTGTAGAATAAACAGTGGGAAGATTGGTATAGTCATATTAAGTACAGCCTACCACCTAATATATCTACAGAACTAAAACAGTATAGATAGTCGAGAAGGTCACAGACTTGATGAGGTAAACTGAATTCTACCTCAATAAAAAAGGAACCTACATTTTTTAAATAAATAATGGATATGGATGTTTTTCAAAACTTAAAATGAAGTGGTATTCATTGACTATCAATAAATTTGTATAATTAAATTTCTGAAAAAAGATTGTTTAAATTTAAATTTCAACAAAATACATTAAAGGCAAAAGTTTTAAATAGGGGAATTTTCTTTCCTGTGACATTCTGACTTGTAATTGGAAACACCGATCAACCATAAAAATGAGCTGAGATCTGAGATGGAACGGGTACATGTACAGAGTTCATATATTATGAGTTCATTATGGTTTTTAAAGTCCCTACCACATGGGCTGGGGATATAGCACAGCAACATAGGTGCCTGAATGGCAAGCACAAGGTCGTGAGTTCTATTCCCAGTGTCAAAAAACCAAATAATAATGTCTCTACCACAATTAATTACTAGCAGACAATATTTTTCTGATGCTCACAAAAGCTCAAAAAGTAACATCTATGAGAAAACATTTTCTTGCTACTGTTTTCAAATAGTTATGAATAGGATCGTGGACAGTTTGATTGATGGGTTCATGGACAGTTTGGTTTATTATATTTCCAAAAATTAAAAATCATAAAAATTATGTAAAAATCATAATACTTATACATTAAATGAAAGTAGATATGCTCCAAGATATACATGCATTCTGAAATTCTCTTCAGTCAAATTCTAATGTTAATGAAACTGTTATTAGTTGGTGGTGGTAGTTTTCACTTGCAGGTAATGCAAAGATAGAACAGTAAACTGAAAAAAATGAGGGTAAATCATGACCAACTCAGCAAGAGGATCTTGATAATTCTTTAGTCTATTGTGACCATTTTGTATTCTAGGGCAAGGTATTATATGTCTTTCAGACCCATTTAGTGGCCAGGGAGATAGCTCAGCAGTGTAAGTACCTGCATGGCAAGTGCAAGGTCCTGAGTTCAACCTCTGGTTGAAAAAATGCATTTAAAGAAGAAAAAGAAAATAATTATTATAATGCTAACCATTATCTGCAAGTAGTGCTGTCCACAACTGTCATGGACAAGAATAAGCAAATGTGTCAACAGTATCCTGATAGCAGTAGAAATGAGGCAAAGGCATTTGTTGTGTTGGTGAACCAACACAGCAAGCTATGCTTAAGTACATGTTACAAAACCACAAGGAAAGGACTTTGTTGCAAATAGTATCCATTTGCCCTTATCTTTTAACTGATATAACAAAGCCTTTGATTTCTCCCTCTTTTCTCTCCCTCTCTTTCCTTCCCTTTTCTTTTTATATATGAATTATGTCTATTATTTTGAGATTGCCCATCTATCCTATTTTCTTCTCATTTTTCTTCAGGGTGGAGGTCATTTGTGCTTTGTTGGATAAATTGTACTGATGTCACTGCTTGGGGACTTGCTATCATATAAACTATCTTTATTTTGATGTTAAACTAGAAAAAGTCAGACTGGGAAGAGGTGAAAGGAATGTGGCATGCACAACAGATTCATTATCTTTCCTTTTTAAATAACATCATTTTTACTCTATTATTTTATACCCAAAAGTACCCATACTGACAATGTTATCAAAATAATTCATTTGTTTTTCATTTTACTTCACTTTATTTGCCAACTACCTAGAGAATTTGTTTTATATTTCATTTGTTTTGAGAAATTGTATTTCAAAACAAATAATAATCTGAAGATTTGAGCAATGAGCTCAGATATTTGTGATTAATTATAAGTAAATCAAAATTAGGAGGAAAAAATATAAACTGTATAGAAATGGTGAAACATTGGCAATGGGAAGTCTCATTATAAGGGCTGAGCAGCCTATGATTCTAAAAAAAGTTCTTTTGAAGTTCATGTCATGTGCCTGGGTGGGCTGTCTGGCCTCTGAGGAAAAGCCTCAAATGAGATTTCGTATATCTAAATTATAGACTGAAAAGTCTGAAAGCTCCAGCAACTCATTGTACAACATAGTGTCCCCTCTTCTTAACAGATATCAAAATGTAAGATGTATTTAAATTAAAATATATAATCATTTGTTGTGGTTATGACCCTGTAAGGTAGACATTGTTATTTGCACTTATAAATAGATACTGAAGCTTGAGATTCCATGAAGTATTTGTCCAAGGTTACATATTGTATGGGAACAAAATTTTATTATAAGTTTATCTGTTCTAATGTACTAGCACATAATTGCTAAATTAAAATATTGATAATATAAATAGTGAAAAGTATGTTTAGGTTACCACCTAATACTATTTAAACTTGTTATCATTTTTTGAGAGGAGATATATTTTTGAAACCATGAATGAAAAAATTATGTTTATTGCATTCTGAAAAAAGTGAACATTAGAATACAAAAGATTCACTACACAACCTAAAATGAGTAAAGATCAAAGTCTGGTTATGATAATTCTGTCTCAACTATGCAGAATTTTGTGATTTTTGGGGAGGGTTTCACTCCACTGTCATAATAAAGACTTCAAGAAAGACCAAAGACCCTCTGTTTCCATGAAGCACAAGAAACAAATAAGCTAAACTAAAACACTATAATGTTTTAATGAAAACACTGCTCATGTCATTGGTGCTTTTTTTTACAAATACTAACTTACAAAGACATAATTATTCCATATATTTCAATTAAGATATAAGTGTACTCAACACGGTTGGATGTACTTTGTGAAATAAACACCAGCAATGAACAGATAAAATGACTCAATAATTGATTGGTAAACACCATGTTAACTATGGAATAATTATATGCCCTGTGAATTATATAGTACTTATAGTTGACATTATTTAGGAAACATAAGAAATGAACTTGTAATTTGTACTTACAAGATTTTGAGTCCAAACAACCAGTTAAGTATCCTGTTATTATACGAAAGTACTCTGTTATTAGCTACCTGGTCAGTAATAATCATGTAATTAGTTATACATATCATACTCCAAAGCAAAATACAATTATGTTATCATTGGTGTATACCAAGAAATGACTTATCAATTCAAAACATTTAGAAGACAACAAGAAGAAATGCATTTAGGTATAGAGCATAATTTATGGCTGTGATTATCCAATAAATGTTTCCATAGTTGAAGAAGCAGCCACTCACTGGCCCCTTCCCGTTACTCAGGCCTTTCTCTCTCAAATTTTGGCTCATCAGTGAGGTCTTTCTCGAGTTGCCTTTCTCAAGTTGGCTCTACCACAGGCCACATTCCCAAATGTCCTCTGTCCTAATATTCTGTTTAAGATCATCATCCTACTTTTGACTCTCAAATTGTGTTTTCCAAAAATATCAGTCCTACCCGATACGTAGAAGACCTGTTTCTTTTTATTAGAAAAGATTCATTGTCTATTAAGTAACTCTATTAGAAATTTCAGCATTTCTGTCTAATACTAAATACTGGAATGTAGTATTTCCGTATAGGCACATAGCAACATGCTGCAACACTGACTAACTAACAAATGAATGAATCACTAAGAGCACATTGTGTACCAAGCACTTGATTACAGCTTAAAATATGACAGATTCTCTGTTCCATATTTCCTGCATGTCAGAGTGCTGAATTAATATTTCATATACAATCAAAGTATTTTTGGAAGCATGTTTAATTTAAAAAGAACTAAACTTAATATTTAATCTAAATATAAGAATTAATAAATGTACAGTCATCTCAATGCGATGATATTGCTTTAGCCTGTTTCTAACCAACTCTTTTACAGGGCATATTCTGAATTGTTTCCCAACTGTTTCTGACCACGAACATTTATTTCAACAGACAACCACATTAATTGGTCTTTTGAAGACTGCTCGGCTCCTCCGTCTTGTGCGCGTGGCCAGGAAGCTGGATCGATACTCAGAATACGGTGCTGCTGTTCTCATGCTCTTAATGTGCATATTTGCTCTCATTGCGCACTGGCTGGCTTGCATCTGGTATGCAATTGGGAATGTAGAAAGGCCATACCTGACAGACAAAATTGGATGGTTGGATTCCTTAGGACAACAAATTGGGAAGCGTTACAATGACAGTGACTCCAGTTCTGGACCATCCATTAAAGACAAATACGTCACCGCACTTTATTTTACCTTCAGCAGTTTAACCAGTGTAGGATTTGGAAATGTGTCTCCTAACACCAATTCGGAGAAAATCTTTTCAATTTGTGTCATGTTGATTGGCTGTAAGTAGATTTCTCTTTTGCTATCTGTTAGGATAGAATGATCTCACAAATTGATTATTTTAGAAGATGGAGAGTAGAGCAATGAAGAGAAGAATGTGGCGCTAGTAAGATCACACAGATGGGTATTGTATTCTAGCGAATCTGACTCTCTGTGAAGATACAAAAAGTTGATTTTCAATCTCAGGAAATCATTGGTATAAAGTTGGTACATAAGTCTAGGGACTCAGAAATTGACACTCATAGTTCACTCAATGCTATGAAAATAGTTACAGTATTTTAATTTTTTACTAGTAGATCTTTTCTATTTTTAGCTGAGGCCAGGTTATAATAGGCAATATTAGCTTGCATGCAGTATGACAGAGATAGGAAGGCGAATAGCTAGATGATAGGCAGAAAGACATAAAAACACTACGATTGTGTTTTAAGCTAATTTTTCATATATATTATATATAATATTATATTTATTTTACAGATATTATATATATGAATGTATTTTTCTCCTGACAATGACCAGATTCTTCCTCCTGTGCCATTATGCCAAGATCTAAGCAACTGTTTTCTCTTTTAATAGCCTCATGTCAGAAATATTATTGATGGCTATATTACCTGGATAAAAATTGTATTTAAATGAAGATATTTTAATGTTAATATTTTTAAATTATCTTGTCAAACCACTTGATGTAACCTTGATAATACCAGGCAGTAATTGACAAAAATGATTGATTTTTGCAGTTTTGAAAAGAACATCTGCTTAGATTGCACGCAAAGTTGAAAATAGATCTTGATTATTGATTTTTAAATGTTAACCTATTGATTAGTGAAATATGCTTATATAAGATCTACTTATAAAACCTAGACTTACCCAGTTCATTGTCTTTTTATATGAAGTTAGCTTTTCGCATATGTGTGTGAGTGAGTGTGTATGCTTTAGTGTTTTTAAATAAATTTATAAAAGGAAATAGCATATTTAAAATTATTAAGATATTCTACAAATTTAATCCAAGTATTGGTTGCAAACACAGTTACACTGTACCCTGAAGGAAATGGAAGTATAGATTAGTAGAGAAATATAGACAGAAGTCAGAGAGATTGGATTTCACAGCATACTCAGTCTAATCATTTTGTGATTATATCTACTAGAATAAACTTTACACTGGTTATAAACTTTAGTGGCGTAGGTAGCAAACAAGAAAAAGACAGCAGTTCATTCTTCATTAAATAATTATATAGAAGTGAAGTTTTTAAGATATTATATTTCTTAAATAATGTTTAAGAAAACATAACTTGTATTTTTAAATTTAATACTTTCAAGAAAGTTTTTAAAATGCATTGAAGTTCATCCAGTCTCTATTTATTAATATTTACCATTGTTAGGATTAAGTGAAACACATAGTGCTGCTTATTATGTGAAGTATTTTAAATTGAAGAAAGCAAAGTTTTTTTACCTGGTCTATATCTAATCTCTATTCTTTAAATCAGGAAAATATTGGCCATTTGTTTCTTCTCTCTCTCTCTCTCTCTCTCTCTCTCTCTCTCTCTCT